AACTCAAAACACTCAACATCAAACATACAACTCTAGAATACACATAGAAACATGACAAGCACATAACACATTGGCTAGATGAATCCACCTACTCTAATACCACTAAATTAAATGTGACACCCTTCTACCCTAAATAAATAAATAAATATAATATAGAAATTTTGGAAAATAAATAAAATAATAATAATAATTTTCTCATCAATATTTTTTAAAAGGGTTCAAATACTTTATCCAACACTCTATTAAACAAAGAAAACATATAAAATATTGTTTGAATCAAAACAAAAATGACATCCTAATTCAATAAAGTTTTGATAATTAAATAGAAACTCAACCATTCAACAACTACTAAAACTAAAACTCTGTTCTAATGTTACACTATCATAGCAAAACTCATTTTTATGGTTCTCCCTCATCAAACACATCTTCTTGTACTTAGTATAGTCTTGCGAATGACATTCAGCCGAATCACAAACATACAAACATAGGAAATGAGAATACATCTCATCCATAAACAACATTTATAAGACATAAAGGTAGATACACACATTTACAATATCAATAACATCTCGCATACTCATAACCATTCTCACTTATATTAATAATAATAATTGTTATTCATTCATCCATCATTCATTATCATCCAATCACACAATATAACACAATCATAATTCAAGACTTGTGCAATGCATGTTTCTAACTATATATGCATGTGATATCAATCTCCCCATCATCATCATCGAGAGTACAAAACAGCCTAGGAGTAATGATACAAAACCACTCCATCAAATAGTGTAGGGACCATCTATTAATAGTGATCCCCTCAAACCACCTCAACTAGGAGATGTCTATCAGAATTCTATCAAAGTGCTACAATTGGCCATGCTAGTTTCACATTCCTATTAGAGGTCCCCACCATAACACCCCTCGGTGTAACAACTCATTTTTTAAATAAATAAATAATGAATGAATGAATTAGAATAATTAGAAGATAAAAGAGTAATATTTTATTAATAAATAAATATGAGGGGAGCTAATCAAAAAAATTTGGACTAGACTATAAGCCCAACTCGAAAACTAATTCAAAAGAAGAAAATAGAGAAGGGTTAGGTCATTATACGTATTCTAAAAACCTATAGCACTCACTAGAGGGACCTAGAGAAGAACACCAAGGGAGAGATAGATTTGTGATAGGACCTATTGGAGAAGCATTGTTTCACGAGAATCGTCACTCCAAGTAGGTGGAGTGAAATTATCAAGCCATTAGGCATATATGAGGGATAAGGATAGAGAGGCAATTCCTATACCTCTAGGTTGTTTGTTTGATGGGATTTTCTTGAGTATATGATTGGCTGAAACTATATTGTTGTTTTATACTAAGGTCTTAAGTGTTTTGAATTAATCAAATTCATATTGAGTTTATGCATTTTGAGGGTTAGGGCTATGTATATATGAATTAGGTTTGATTGGGATTAAATGAAATATGATGTATTGATGTTAATATGATGTTTATATAGGGTGATTCGATTAATTGACCAATTGGATTGTATGAATAAGTTGTTGTCGCATTGGTGTGGAATTTGGATGAGATGAAACGCACAAATCGTGAGTCTATGATGTAAGATTTTATGACCATGTTGAACGTGAGGATGGTCACATCGGGTGTAGGACATAGAGAGGTCCCAAACCTCTTGGGGCTGGACATGAGGTATTGCCCCTAATGCCATTTGATGTCATTTTTTATGAACATGATGATGTCGAGTGTGGCCTAGACCACACTAGGGGAGAATGAGACAAAGAGATCCCAAACCTCACCTCGCTTGGTGTAGGTGATCCCACGTCAGGCATGAGTTTGGTAGAGAGGTCATAACCTCTTTGAGTTGAGCATGAATTTGTTCTTACCGGATGCCACACCTTTTTACATTTTTTGATGTTATACTTTACTAATTAATTAATAAATAAGGAACTGTGAGGAAAGATTGAGATTAACAACTAAGAGAATTAATTAATGAGTAGTAATGTGTAAGGTGTGTGAATATTAACGATGTCATTGGTGAAATTACAAATAGATGGATGTAATAAAATGAGTAATAATAAAGGACAATACTATAATGTGTGATGATATTTAAGGTTCGATGATGATGATATTATGATTAAGATATGATGATAATGATGTTATAATGATAAATATTATAATATGTGATAAGAATGTATAATAATGATGATATGTATATGAGAAGGAATTGATGTGTGAGAATTATATTGATATATGATTGTTGAGTTGATATGAGTAATATATTGAGATGTGATGATACATTGAAATGTTAGAGTGTGATGATATGTACATATGATGAGTACTAAAATGAGATATGATAAATAAGTTCAATGTTGCGGACTGATACTCAAGGAGTTGAGAATGTATTTATGTGGTTAAATCGATTATTTTAAGTCCATGCAATTAATGCCTTGTTTGCGAGATAGTGTAAGTCTTTGCAAATGGAATATTATAGGTCATTTACCTGTGTCTCAAGAGATGTTATGGTGGAGAAACCTCTAATAGGAAAAAAAATATTATTTTAATTGTGATAGTTGAAAAAATTATAAAAAGATAAATTATATATATATATATATATTACATAAAATTGAAAACATCGGTTACTTCGGAAAAAAATTAAATGATAAAAATATAATCATTTTGTGAAGAGAAAAAAGTACTTTTGTGTTATTGGGTCTTGGAATTTTAAAAGATTAAAGAAAAAGAAGAGGATAAATTTTTGAAAAAATAACTTATCTAAAAGTCAAGATACAACCTAAATAATAACCAAATGAATTTCAATATTTCCATTCAATTAATTAACATATAACTAAGTGTGATGAAAGAATCTAAATCCATAGCAAACAATTTAGTCCATGTGCTTCAACGAGTCAAAAACATTGGCCAAAGTTGATAACGAAAAGTAATGACTCTGTTAAAGAGATTAATATGGCTCATTCTTCCTTTTCTTTTTGTTTTTTTGTTTCATAGATTGGGGAACAAACACTCTCTCTTTGTGTTGAAAAGAAAACATGCATGGACATACCATGTTTCCGGTAACCTTTCACTTTCAGGGCAATCAAGGATTCCTTCACCGACTTGTTTGCTGATAGTATACAATGTTTTGTTTGTTTATACATATTATAATTTTTTATTTTTGTTGTTTGTTTAATTAAGCAAAAATATAAATTAAAAAATATTGGGAGGGAATATTTGGATTGGGCTTAGACTATCCCTATCTGGAGTAAACCCATCAAGAGTTAAGAGATTAAAAATGATCACAAATATAAGAGTGGAGTGAAAGGTCTATTTGTTAAATTTTAGAGGTGTTAAATTGAGTGGATTCATAACCCTAAGTCCCAAGTGTGTGATTTAGTGGTAGGGATTGATCTACACTTAAGCAAGGTCAGGGATTCGAATCTTGTCTTGTATATGCAGCCGCATTATATCTTGTGACCAGTTATCCCACCCTGCTATCGGTCTTGGATCCTCTAGGGACGAAAATAAAAATAAAAATTGAGTGGGTTCACAATAATTAGTTTTAATTTGATTTCATTTACTTTTTTGTAAGTTAAAAAATATATATTCAGTTAAATTCACTGCATGTTGGTGTATTAAGTAAGTTGACTAACGAATTGACTTGTATAATTTTTATAAAAAATAATTCAAGTATAAGAAAAATATAAATACTACTCTAACAATTGCCAAAAACAATACTATTTTATAACAGAAAATTTAAAGAATAAGAAAATAGAATCAAAATGAAAACATCGAAGAAATTAATTTAAAACTAAAGAAGGAGAAAAATAAATTTTTAAAGAAAAAGGAATTGATACATGTTACACCGACCCACTCCGATTATCTCAGTTGAACTCGCAAGTTAAGTTAGTCAAATCAAATTGTCCCATGTATTGATCTGTTTTAGCATTTTCCACTTTTAGTTTAGTTAATTTATGTTGAGGACATTGATTAAGGCAATAAATAACAAGTTTTTATAAAAATAACTTTTTAGCAATATTAAAAAATGTTGTGAGGAATGAGGATTCACTAATATCATTTTCAATAATTTTATTTCATTCCTTAACTAGTGTAAAGAATGTGATGAAATAATATATAGATTAGCGTTGGTTTATGTTAAATGGCAGAGTCATGTTTTGTAACTTTATTCCTTATTCGAGATCAGATATGTCAGATTTTCAAATAAAGAAAGCGCCAACTTTACATTTGTCTTGGCAAAGATTCTGAGTAACATTGCCAATGTGCTATTTTGGATGGGTATGCATCTTTACCTTATCATCACAAAAAGTCATCCATTCAAACAAACGCATAAAAATGATCACTTCTACTAATCGTTAGATCTTTACCAACATTATGTATTTCCAAAATGGAATGTAATGAATGCTTGATAAACAAGCCAAACCTAACTCCACTCCCTACATCATCAAGATTGAGGAATTTGGAAATTCAACTGCTAGTAGTGCCATTTGGTGGTGGTACACCTTTTAAAAGCCTCATTTGATAGGCTAAATCTTCCAAATTTTTGCCACATATTATCCAAAGAACGATGCTTTATATATGTTTGATTTAAATGTTTTTATTCCTTTAAATTAAATTTCTTTTTTATCTTTCAAATTTAAAATCGATTATTCTATTTCTCGTCATTTATTTTTAAAAAATATTATTTTAATTCTTTAAGTTACTAGTAACATATTTAATATATTATTTAATATGATGCTTTTATTAATATATTTTACACAGAAAATATATGAAGAAAAAAACTATTCTTTCTAATACTATTTAAAACAGTATCAAATAAAAAGGTAAATAAATTTAATATTTTAGAAAGATAAAATATATTCAATATTTTCAGATGAAAACTAATAAAATATTTTGTAATGCGGTGTAAAAAATATATTATCGTCTTAAATAATGGAATTTGAAAAGCATCATAAAAGAAATCAATTCATGATACGTTGAACATGCACTCTCCACTAATGACTCCACCATGAAACTCACGATCAAGAAACTACTCGATCAATAAGCGAAATTTATATCTCTATAATTACACCATAATTACATAAGAAAAAGATAAAATTACAACATTGAGATTGAATGAATCAAATCACTTGTCACTTTTACAATCAATAAATTAAAATCGGATAAATAATTAGTACAATAATAGTACTAAATAAATAAAGTCTTGATGAAATGATGACTCACAAATTGTCACAAGACACATTTCTCTACCGAACCCAACATGTCTTTGTCTTTCCGCAAATTGAGGCAGCCAAACAGTCCCAAAAACGCGTCCATGTCACTGCCCTGTGAGCTGTATCCCCATTTTCAAAAGAACCCATTAATCATAAAATAATCTTTATTTATTTTTTTCTTACAAATAATTCTATTCCATGTGCATTCTTCCACTTCTTCTCTATCCCATGTATGAATCAATCATATGTGCAAGATTTCTTGAGGGAAATAGGAGCATTGAGCTTCTTGGGATCCAAAGTGATGGAACATTGAATGGTTTTGTAGTACTTTGGTTTCACCAATTTCCCAAGAACATAAGCCCTAGATCGTAGCACAAAATTAAGGTTCAATGGCACAGGCACTGTGGGCACACCCGTTGTGCTACTTAGGCTAGCACCACTCCCATATAGAGGGATCTTGTTACCCATCACTGCCACACTCACCAACCTTTGGCTCCTCCTAGATTGATAAAACTTCTTCATCTGCAACAACAACAACCAATTCCAACGTTACAAAAAGTGAAACATCAAACATGTTTGTTTGTGATGTTGATATTGAATCTTACGTTTCCCGAAGCAATTACGATCTCTGAGTAGGAAAGTTCCACGGGTGTGGCGGTGACATGGACCCCGAAAAATGTGCCCGTGTTGCGGTATGTGAATTTCAACGTGGAATTCATTGTGATCATATCAGTGGCCACCCCTGTTGAATCCGAACCAGCTTGGACCCTTACGTGATCGAACTTTATGCTCTGCAAAAGGCATAAAAATCTAAAACATCAAGACCCACTTCAGGTTTCATCCCCCAAAACACCAAATTGTTCAACAAGTTCATGTTTCTTTCTGAAAATGAAAAACCAATCTAGGCCCACTTCAGATTTCGTTTTTAAAACACGAAATTGATCGATACCCACTTCATATTTCACTTGAAAATTAAAGATTACCAAGACCCTGTTCGTATTCCATTGTCAATTAAAAGTACCATCTTGATCGATACCCAGTTCAGATTCCACCCTAAAATCCCCAAATCGATCAAGATCCACTTCACATTTCACTCTCAGAACGAAAAAACCAACCAAAACCCAGTTCACATTCCACGCCAAAAACACAAACTCAAACACGACCCATCTTATAAATTAGAAATAAGATTACTTTTTGAATTTCTCCACTTAAAAAAAAAAAAAGAAAAATCTAAATTTTGGCATGCAAACTCTCTTAAACTTTTATAAATTTATATTCTTAAAAAGAGATCGAGTATAACTTGACATTACAAAACTAATTAGTAAAGTCAAAATATCTTCCTACTTGTATAACTTAATATGATTATGATGTGATCTTCAATTACTCTTCATCTATACAAACTAATAGTATTAGTTAACTTGGATCTCCAATTTTCAGACTTATAGAGGTGAGATTTTGAAGACAAATTAATGATAAAAAGTGGAAAGAAAAGAAAAAAACCTTGATGGAGATCTTGGGTTTCATGGGTCTACTAGCCCCCCAGAGGATAAGAGAGAAGAGGGAGAAGAGAAGCAGAAAGCCAAGAAGGAAGGCGAGAAAGTAACAGCGGCGAGGGAGGGAGTGGCGGCGATCATCCCCTTGGAGAAGGCCTTCTTCTTCGATGACGTCGATTCGCTTCCAGGGCTTGAGGGTGTTGTGAGTGTGGTCCTTCTTGGAGGAGAAGCGCGTGGAGGAGGAGTGGCGAGAGTGCGGGGGAGAACCCACGGGGCTGAGAACGGGCGTGGAGTGAAACGACGTCGTGGCGGTCTTCTCGCCGTCGTGGGAGTCCCTGGAGGGGCTCTGCACGTAGTAGAGAGGCCGCCGCGGAGGGGAGCGCGTGGGGGACGACGCCGCCAGGCTTGTTACCTCGGAGTCTGTCTTGGCGTGCATCCTATTCCTATCACTCTCTGTCTCTGTCTCTGTCTCTGTTTGTGTTTGTGTTTGGTTGGATGCACATGTGTCTCAACTCAACTCTCAAGTGAATTATGAAGATCTTGGATTGGAGTTGGAGTCTCTTTTTATTTAATGATTTCTGGATGGAAGAATCTGAACAAGTGGGGATTTGAGTTTCATTTCTATGATTTAATTAATATTTATGACGCGTTTTCTCTTTTTCTTTCTAAAACTGCACCGCCATCACCTTATCAACCTTTCTTCTCTCATCACTCCTGCTTGCCTTGCATCTATGGAAAACAACATGTCAAAATTGGATTACTTTAACATTTAATTATTATTATTAAATAAATTTGCTCATAACTAATTTTAAGACATTTAATTACATTTAGATGCAATAAAAAATTAATTTTTATATAATAAATTAGTTAAGAAAAATTATTGAAAAATAATCATAAATTTTATATTTCTTGAAAACAGCTTATTTATTTTAAAAAAATATTTATAAATTTAAGTTGTTGTCTCAAATATATATTTCTCTTACAAATAGTTTTTTTTATCTAAAAATACAACAAAGATTTTCATACTAGAGTGGGATTTTAATTGCCACAATGAATAATAAACTCACGTCAAGGAGAACATAAGTTTAAATCATATTCAAGACTATTTATGCCGATTCATAACTACTAGTTTAATATAATTTATGATATGCATTACAATATTTACAAATTTTTGTTTGAATCATATATGAGTGAAAAGTTAATTCTTCAACACAATTGCATATTTTATGACTAGAACTCACCACTACTAATTTAATAGTAAAAAATTGTTTATTTTAGTGAAATTAAGTACAAATTTCTTAAATATCTAGCATTTTAGTATATACATTTTACAAGCTAGATGTTTAGTATATATATATATATAACTAAAATTTATAATAAATAATATATAAAATAAATATTATATTTGAATATATAAATTATATTTAAAATTTAT